ATTCAAGGAAGTCCAATGAAAACCACTATCATTCATGCAGAACAGATAATCTGGGAGGCTAGTGTGTATGAGGAGGAATGTGACATCAGGATTGGAGGAACATTCATCAACAACTTGCATTATGCAGATGACATAACCCTGTTTACTGAAACTGAGGAGGACCTGAAGCGCTTGCTGCAGAGGGTCAAGGACTGGAGCCTTCAATATAGATTGAAGCTCAAAATCCAGAAAAAGATTCTTTCTTACCACTGGGCCAATTGGCAACATCATTGTGGATGATGAAGAGATTGAAATTGTTAACCACTTTAATTTGCTTGGCTTCACAATCAACACTCTTGGTACCAGCAGTCAGGAAATCAAGAGACAAATTGCATTGGGAAAGTCAGCTATTAGGTAACTCTCCAGAGTACTGAAGAGCAACAATGTCAGTCTGGAGACTCAGGTGCACCTGATCCAGGCCATACTCTTCACAATTGCTTGATATGCATCAGAGAGCTAGACAGTAACTAGGGATAATAGAAAGATAATTGATGCCTTTGAGCTGTGGTGCTGGAGAAGAGTATTGAATATACCATGGACTGCTAAGAGAACAAACAGGTTTGTCCTGGAGAGAGTGAGACCAGGCTGCTCCTTGGAGGTAAGGATTCTGCAGCTGCATCTGACATACTTTGGACATGTTACAAGGAGAGAGACATCATGTTTGGGAGGGTGGAGGGACAGTACAAGAGAGGAAGACCCTCGGTGAGATGGATTGATTCAATAAATGGGGTCATGGGGGTAGGTGTGTTAGAGGCAATGAGGTTGGCACAGGATAGAGCAGGGTTCAGGGCTCTTGTATATAGGGTCGCTATGAGTTACAAGTGACTCGACAGCACATAACAACAACAACAACAACAACAACAGCAACAAGAACATATATAATTTTTATTTTATGGGTCTTATCCATTTCCTTCACCCCACGCCCCATCAAACTATATGATCCTATGATTAACCCCCCTTCCCCACCCATCCTCACCCTTTCCACCTTATGGGACAGAGTTAGTTTACTTGGCATAATACTCTCCAGTTACTATCTTCTTGTCTGAGACACCACAGAAGCTTTCCTGACATTTTTTTTTCTTTTTTAAATAAAACAAAGGTAAACCCAAAATTCTAAAATCTTGTCCCAGTCAGGGAATTATGTCATTTTTACCACAGTAACAAACTTTTTCTTGAAAATGCAAAGGAAATACTTTAAGATGGAGGATATAAAGGTAAAGAAGGAACTTAAAATGGAGGATTTAACTCTTGTTACTTTTATAGAGATTGACATTTATTCTTTTTGTTCAAATATGTAGTCCTCAATTTGTGACAAATTTCTCTTTCATTGACTCAGTTTTATAGTGCTTTGACTTTAGTTGTTTATACAGTTCTTTTTAAAACTTTGTCCATTATAATTGAAGCATTACAGGTAAACTGATTTATATATGTTAATATATGAGTTGCTGTTATTATGTGGTGTCATGTCAGAACTGACTCATAGCTGACCCTCCAGAAGATTTTCAGAGACTATAAATCTCATCAGAGGAGATGGCCCATCTTTCTCCCATGGAATAACTGGTGGATTCAAACCACCTGCCTTTGGGTTGGCAATGCAGTTCTTTACCACTAGACACTCAGAATTCTTCCAATACAAGAGGAAAATTAGTTACCTTTGAATCAATTCCAATTAATAGTGAACCTACAGGACAGAAATGCCCCACAGGGTTTCAAAGCCTAGAAATCTTTACTGAAGCTGACTGCCACCTCCTTCTCCCACATGCCAGCTATTGGATTTGAATTGTTGAATGTCTATTTAGTAAGTAATTTCTTTCTTTTTTTTATTATTATTTTTTTTAGTAAGTAATTTCTTAACCACTGAACTACCAGGATTGGACAGGGTGCAGCACTATAGTGCATAGGTTTGCTATGAGTGGCAGTCTACTTGAAGGGACATAACAACAACTAAGCTTTCTCAGTATTTTCTTCGTTATTATAGTGTAATCCCACTGATGTTTTTGTATTGGTCTTGAATCCTGCCACTCTACTATATTGGTCTAACAGTTTCTTTGTTGGGTCCTTGGGATTTTCTATGTATACTATCCTATCTGCATATAGTAAGTTTTACCACCTCTTTGCCAATTTGGATACCTCTTATTTCCTTCTCTTGTTGTATTACCCTAGCAGACACTTTGAATAGGGTTCTTTTAAAATACATACATGCATAGATAAAAAGACAGAGATTGTAAACATGTACTATAATGATGAAGACTGGCAATTTAATTGATTAGCAGCTAGCTTGGCCAGATTTATGAATGTGGAATTCTTGCGATAAGGCACAAATAGTACTTTAAGTTCATTTTTCCAACTAAATAGAATTTGCATATTTATCTCACTACCCACTAACATTATCTCTTATTAAAGCAAAAGATCTTTTTTTGAGTACTGCCATGTTGGAACTGATCCATAAGTGATCCTCCTGCAGGTTTTCACAGCCAGTAAATTGTACCAGAGGAGTTTGCCCATCCTTTTCCTGTGGAGCATCTGGTAGATTTGAACTATGTGCTTTTTGGATTGCAGCACAGTTTCTTACCACTAGGCCACCAGAGCTCCATAAAACAAGAGATAAGCTTCATTTATTTCAAAATAATTTTAAATAGAATGACTTCTTTTGTGATTTCTAGATTGTGGAAAAGTTTTAAATGAAAACATGCATTTCTTCTGGATTATTATTTATTGAAAGGAAGCCCCCCCTGCTCCGCCCCTCCTGCATAGTTTTCACTGGCTAACAATGATTCCTGCCAGAAGTTCTTGAACTTTCACTCATAAAATAATTATAAAATTGACCTAACATTCTGTGATCAGTTGAATAGAAAGTAATCATTAAGAAATTCAGTCTTTATTACTAAATTTGTATGATGTGATGTTATTGGTTTTTTTTTAGAGCTCTTTTATGCCTTCCTCTGCTGTCCCTGTGGGTAGTTTCTGCACAAAGTTTTCAAATATGCTCTAAATCTCCAACTACATTAGTATTAACTAATTATTTCAAAATGTAGATGCACATAATGACAATTTTTTGGTGCTGAAGGTAAAATTTATTTAATGAAAAAAGGATGTTTTTCATTAAATGATTAAACTAGTAGATTCTATTTTCAGATATTTTAGTCTCTCTATGAAAATGCAGATAAACCAGGAAAAAAAACCAGCATAGTCAGGAACGAGACACTAAAACTTGCTTAGCTAAATGTTGCAAATGATAGAGGCAAAATTTAAGGACTATACCACAGGATAAATGCCTGGCTTTGAGACATAGGCATATGACGTTTGCCACATGTTCTCCAATAGTAATTATATAATTAAAGTTGCCTAAAAGGAATATTATAAATATTCATATTTAAACTCTTCCCCTCACATCATTTATTTAAAAAAAAAACAAAACGATGTCTCACATTTCTTTACAGACATTTTATTGGTGGTAATTGCTACTAATACTAGTTTTATTTGGGGCTTTTATAGCCTTTTCCTAAGTAGTACTAATTTTAGACTATCCTTTTTATGCAAAATTAAAGTAGTGAGAAGATTGTTTTTGACAATTACAAAACATTTACTAATGCTAATTAAAAGTTAGAGAATTCTGGTGGATAAGAACCTGTGTGATAAACCAGAGACACACAGTTTGAATCCACCAGCAACTCCACAGAAGAAGGATGGGCAGTCTTTTCCCATGTGATTTACTTCCTCAGAAAATCCACTGGAGGATCAACAATGGGTTCGTTCTGACTTGATAACACAAAAGAATAACAACAACAACAATGAAAAGTTAGAACTTTATCTTATTATGTAGAAGTGAAATATTGCAAAAACTTGTGAAAATGAACAGCCAGTGTATTTATAAAACAATACTGAGAAATATATTGTTGCTGTTGGTGTTATATGCCATTGAGTCACCTGTGATGACTCATAGAGACCTGTGTACAGCAGCTGTGAAGCCTGCCCCATCCTCATCCAGTCTTACTGATTCTGACACTACCCACATTTATGTGTGTTTGTATATATACACATGTATATGTGTATATACATGTACATATACATATATATATATATGACATACGTACACATACAATGAAATCTATGAGAGCTGGTACTTAACAGGGTTATCTTTTTTTCTTGGTATTGCATGTTGGCCATAGTTTTGTCACATTTGACAGTGTGCAATATTACCACGTTTCTTATCTTCATTTTAGGGGAAAATACATAAATATTCATTCTCTGACAATTTTCTGCTCTAAACAGGTTCTAGATTAAATTTTCTTAGAATATCTTGCAGATATCAATTGTATTTTAAATATATGTGGCTTCCTCTATAGTCATCTTTATTTGTTATTTTAAATGTGCTTTACAGAGTTTGGAATAAAGGATTTCAAAACCAACCTTTAAAAAATAGCAGTCATCCTTACAGTTTCAGAAACCCTCGTTTGACATTTAAATGGCAATTTAAGGTGCTGTAGTTTTAGCCTAGTCCCTGAAAGCAGCAACAGATTAGATTATATATTGACATCTCTTAAAATTCAGATAGATGTTTTTATATGTAAGTGTGATTAAAACTTCAAATTTCAGATTTCAGAAACTTAAAATCTAAAGTAAGGAAATACAAAATAAAATACTAAAAGATATAATTACCTTCTTAGGCCACAATTAAACTTTCATTACACATACTAATTTTGTTTTTATTTCAAGGTTGAAGAAAATTCTTAAAAGTTCAGAACGTTTAATTTGATGTCAAAAATCAAGTGAAACTCATCAGTGTAATATTTAAATAAAAAAATTTTTTTTAAATTTAGGTTGTTTATTTTTCATTTCAATGAACAATAAAAATTTAAAAAGTTTAATTAAAGTAACTTGACTAATTTGAAGAGTATTTTAACATAGTAGTTGCTTTAAATTATTATTTTCCTCTTATGATATATGTTAATTATTTACAGATCCAGTGGTACTATGGAAATTTCCAGAAGACTTTGGAGACCAGGTTGGAACCACAAACTTTTAGCAAACATTTAAAGTTTGAATATTATAGTTTCTACTATTACAACTGTTGTTTCTATTACTATCTCACATTAATAGCTATCATAATTTTTCCTTGATTAGCTGTGAGGAAGAATGTGAACTCTATCCAAAATATATCTGGAAGAATCTTTAAGGATAATAAGGTCTTTTATTGGACTAATAAGAATTAGACATTTGCAATATCAACCTGTTTTTATACTGTTAATTTATCTGTAAAGTATATATTTGAAACTGTCATAGTTTTCTTGTAAACTATTTGACAATATTAAACTTTGTTGTGTATACATCTATTATTTCTGCCTATATAGAAGTAATTGTAATGGATGTAAGTAATACTTTCTTTCCTTATAGTATTATCTGAATCATTACACTGAGAAGTTGAATTTTCAATATTTGATTATTTTTAAAATGATTTTAGTTTTAATCTTCTTCAAAGAATATGGCTTGGGAGACTAGGAAGAATTTTTTCTATTTGTATTTTACAACCTTTTATAGTTTTTAGCACAAAGAAAACTGATTGCATAAAGACTGAAGTCCTCAACTCTTTACGGTTCACACCCACTCATCACTTCATAGGAGAAAGATGTGATCATATATTTTCTTTAAAATTTCCAAAGCTTTGGAAATCCTATAGTTATTTCTGCTGTACTGGGTTGTGATAAATCATGTTAGCTTAATGGCTGTGAGTTTGGGTACAGTGATTAAACGCTCAGTTATACTGGACAGGTTAGCAGTTCAAATCCATCAGCCACTCATCAAAAAAGGTTGTAGTAAAGGCTTACAACTTTGGAAACCTTATGTTCTTGTTGTGTACCATAGAGTTGGAACTGACCCATAACTGACCCTCTTGCTGGTTTTCAGAGGCAGATAATTGCGTGGGAGATGATTGCCCATCCTTCTCTTGCAGAGCAGCTGATGACCTTGAACTGTGCGCCTTTTGGTTTCCAGCATAGCTTCTTGCCACTAGACTACCAGAGCTCCCTTTGGGAACCCTTTAGGGCAGTTCTATTCTGCCCTGTAGGATTTCTGTGAGTTGAAATTAACTTGATGGCAGTGGGTTTGGCTTTGATTTAATTTGACAAATTGATGAATCATTTTGACATGGTATTTTCAAATGAAAAGATTTTTTATAAATTTGGAAGTTAGATTATAAAATATATATGGCTGTCATGCCAAATGAAATTTTGTTAGACACCTGATGAGCAGGTATTTTTTCTTTTGTCTTCAGAGAAATAGGGACCAAGAATGATACCCAAATCTGGGTTCCATGGCTCATAAGCCACATGTTCTGTGATTGAGTTACAACTCTAGACCCGAGAAATAGGATAACATAATTTTATCACTGTTAAAATTATAATAATACAATCTTACAACAATTTATTTTCATAGATATGATTCTCAAATTTTTTTTTAAAAGTCAAGGAAAATATTCCTTCAAAAATAATTATGAACACACTTGATTTTGAATATTTATAGAATAATTTTTTAGGCATGAAAGTCAAACTAAAAGATTGGCAAATTACACAGAAAATGTCTAAGTACATGTTAAACGTAGTAGAATCCTTTACCTTGGTCTCACATGAAAAGCAAGTATATACATATTTTAGTTACGTAGTGCTTCTGTAACAGAAATACCACAAGTGGATGGCTTTAGTAAAATGAAATTTATTCTCTTATATTTTGGGAGATTAGAAGTCTGAGTTCAGAGTACTAGCTCTATGGGAATACTTCCTCTGTCACCTAGCTCTGGTGGAATGTCCATGTCTCCTGTTAGCATTTGTGAGTTAAACATTCCTTGGAGAGCACCTGTGTCTTCGTATGAATCCTGCCTGGGTACTAGGAGAGTCTCAGCGCAGGAAATCTAGGTGGTCCAAAGACACCCTCATCCTAACCCCTTTTCTCTTGATCATAAGAGTCCCTTCTTTCTTCTCTGCTGGCTTTTTTCTCCTTTCATCTCTTAAAATATAAGAGGTGATACAAGCTACACCCATGGAAACTCCCCTTATGTTCACTTAGAGCTGTTGCATACCTCTGAAATGCTCTTGTAAATAATTGGCTGATCACATTTTAGGGTCTCATTTAAGTCGTTATATAACCACAAACTTACAGAACTATCAATTATAAACTAACATTGTATAACTGCCAAATCTCTGAGAATCATGGCCAGACCAAGGTGGCATAGATGCATTTTGGGAGGTATCGCTTAATATATTCCATTCCATCCTTTTACTTTCCAAAATTAACGTCCTTGCCATATGCAAAACACTTTCACCCAATCATATTAATGTTTCTAGGAGGTGTTCCCCCTCCTTCTTTTGGCAATGGGACAACTCAGACATATTTTATGAGTTGCCATTTTATTTAATTTGTGTGTGTGTGTGTGTGTGTGTGTGTGTGTGTGTGGCTGCGCTGCAGTCCCAAAGGCAGGCAGTTCGAATCACCAGTTGGTTCATGAGAGAAGGATGAGCAGTTTCCTCCCGTGAAGTTTACTGTCTCTGAAAACCCACTGGAGGTCAGCTATGGGTTGGTTCTGACTTAATGGCACACCAACAACACGAGGTAAAACTATATAAGTATGAGAATAAGGCTGGATTTTGTCTGCCATTGAAGACTTTACTAGAGTGGGTTCTTTAAATGGAGCAGAGAATGAGATGACAGAATTAGTATATCAGGAAGGTTAATCTGAGAGAGATTTTTTGGTATGGATTGGTTGGGGAAGAAACTCATGGCAAACAGGTAGTTGTTGCAGTTGTTCAAGTGAAGGGTAAAAAAGATCTGATAGAACAGACTACATAGAAAGATTAAGTGTAAACAGGTCAAATATTTAATCTCTCTTTGGAAATCCAATGTCGGGTCAACTATAAGTTGATTAATAGCTAGTCTGTGTTATTGCTATTGCTAAAATTTCCAATACAATTTTGAATAGGAGAGATGATAGTGGGCAATCTTGTCTAGTTTCTGTTCTCAAAGAGAATGCTTTTAATCTCTCTGCATTGTGAGGAATGTTGGCTCTCGGGTTTGCGTATATACTTTTTACTTTGTTGAGGGAATTCCCCTCTATTCCTATTTTTGTTGCGTTTTTTAATCAGGAAACGGTGTTAGATTTTGTCAAAGGCCTTTTCTGCATCAATTGATAGGATCATGTGGTTCTTGCTCTTTGCTTTGTTAATGTGATAAAATGACACTGATTGTTTTTCTTATGTTGTAAGACCATCTTTGCAGACCAGTTAAGAATCCCACTTGGTAATGGTGAATTATTTCTTTGATGAATTGTTGGATTCTATTGGCCAGGATTTTATGTAGGATTTTTGCATCTATGTTCATGAGAGATATTTTCCTATAGTTTGTATTTATTTGGCTCTGGTATCAAGGATATGTTTGCTTAATAGAATGAGTCTGGGAGAATTCCATCCTTTTCTATTTTCTGAAATAGTTAATGTAGAATTGGTGACAGTTCTTCTCTGAATGTTTGTTAAAATTCACTTGTAAAACCATCTGGTTCAGGGCTTTTTAAAATAAACTTTTAAATTCTTCTTTTGTAATGGGTCTGTTCAGGTGTTCAATTTCAGTTTGTGTCAGTTTAGGTAGGTTGCGAATTTCTGAGTATTTGTCCATTTCCTCTAGGTTTTCTATTTGTTTGAGTATAGTTTTTCCATAATATTCCATTATCAGCCTTTTTATTTTAGTTGGTTCTGTTGTGATATTGCTCGTTTCATCTCTTATTAAGATTATTTGTATCTTTTCCTTCATTGGTTCTGCTAGTGGTTGTCGATTTTATTGACTGTTTTGAAGAGCCAACTCATGATTTTGTTGATGGTTTCAATTATTTTTCTGTTTTCTGTTTCATTTATTTCTGCCCAAATTTTTATAACTTCAGTTTTTTTAGAGGGTGTTGGGTTTTCTTGTTATTCTCTTCCAATTGTTGGAGATAGTGGGTTAGAAAATCAGTGGTCATTTTCTCCTGCCTTTTATGTGTTTGCTTATTGCTGTAAATTGACCTTAGATTACTGCTTTGGCTGTTTTCCAGGGATTTTGGTATGTTTTGTTTTCATTGTCATTTGTTTCAAGAAACTTTTCATTTCATTTTTTTATTTCATCTGGTACCCACTCATGTTCAAGCAAGATATTGTTCAGCTTCCAAATATATGGTTTTTTCCTCCTTTCTCCTCTTGCTATTTTAATTTTGTAGCACTGTGGTCTGAGATGATGCTTTGTATTATTTCTATGTTTTTTAATTTATTGATGCTTGCCTTGTGACCTACAATGTGATCTATTATGGAAAATGTTCCATACACATTGGAGAAGAAGCTATACTGTGCTTTTTTGGGGTGCATTAGTCTAATCTATGAGATTGAGTTGGTTTATTGTGTGGTTTAATTCTTTGTTGAATTTCTTTCTGGTAGTTCTATCATTTCTTGAGTGGTGTATTGAAGTATCAAACTTTTTATAGTGGTGTGTTTATTTCCTTTTTCAGTTTTGTTAATGTCTGTTTTATATATTTTACAGCTCTATCATTTGATGCATGTTGTTGTTGTTAAGTGCCATTCGATTGTAGGCGACTCATAGTGACTCTATGAATGAAAGTCCTCAATACTTGTGTGACTTTCATCCTTTCTCCAGGTTCATAGTGCTTCTGGAGGCAAGCTATTACAGAATTATTTGCCACTCCTGCTTCCAAGCTTGTTTTAATTGGGGAGCTCCACCAAACACTGTCTGCCATGGGTAACCATTAATGCATTTGGCACATTAGTGTCACAGTGTTCAGCTTCACAGTAACCACAAGTTACCTCTGTATGGCAAGTAGACACACCAGGGCTATAAGACCTAGAAGAATGTTTGAACAAAAAATAATGAAAAACAGGCCTGAGGGCTGTGGATTAAGTCACCCACATTTGGCTTGGCAGCATTCCTTTCTGTACACTAGGCCAACTGATCACTCTCTATGTTGTTGTTGTTGTTAAG